CCCCGACACCCTGTACTGGTGATTCGCTCGTCCCTGCTTTCGGTGTTTTTAATGTTACCAGATGTGTGGAAAGGAGGAGAATCGTCTGCCAATTGATGATGTGGCACCTTCGCCGCCGCGCAGCCTCGTGTAGCTTGAAACCACATGATCCGACAAAGTGCCAGGGATTGCTCGCACATATGCCGCTTGCTGCGTCGCAAAAGTGCGCAGCTTTCGCTGCTTGCAGTCTTGAACTCTGAACTCTGATCTGTTGCAGCGACCTTCGCTGTCCAGCAGGAGGCGGAACTTGCACCTGTCGACCCATCGGCTGCACCAGCGACGGTGGAGCACACTACCGTTCTGTATCTGCAGGTGCAGGGCCTTAGACTCCCTGGACCGAAACGCGAATCATAAGGGCTGCATGGTGTGGTGTGCTGCGTCAGGTTGCAGCAGCCTACAATCTTATCAACAGGGACACTGGGGTTCTGGGAGATGTGCCCTTATCCCAGACATCTTGTTTTTTCGGCATAGTGAGGCATTGTGACTGGAAGCTGTTGGGCACAGCCAAGGTCTGACCCGTACGTGGTGGCGCAAGTTGGAAGTATGACGCAGCAAACGCCAGTTATCAACAACGAACTGAACCCCGTTTGGCAGGCTGGAGCAACGACAACCCTTCCCTGAATCCAGCTGTTACACGTGTGTTGGATGGCACAGGAAAACAACCAGTTCTCCTTCAACATTGTGGATCACAGTGCAGATCGCTATCTTGAATTGAAGGCTCCCGAAGCACTGCGCCCATCTTGCCGTGGCCCCCGGATCTCGGCAATGCCAAGGTGATGAACTCCAACGTTATGAAGGATGATAGCCTGGGTAGCATCAGAGTTGACACTCGCTCCATCGATCCGGGTCAGTGGCTTCTCGGTGTGACCATGACCAGGGCGCCTTTCCTCGCAGCACCTTGGGCCTTAATCTGCTGCCTTGTCAAAGAGGCACCACTATCGCCTGAAGCTGGAAGAAGGTCAAGGCGGCGAGCCTGCGACCTGGTTTCGACCCGACAGCTGACTCCCAGTCGCGGGGGCGGGGCAGAGTCCGAGGTTGGAGTTCGACGTCTTCCTGAAGCCGGCAGCGAGAGCCTGGCTTGTCTTGCCGGAGCCCAGGCCAGGCAGCAGAGGACTCGGTCCTTGATGCCAGGCCATGCAAGCCTCAGCAGCGTGCGGATGAGCTGTTAGGCTGCTGCTTTTGAGCTAATCGCTAGACTGAAGCACGGTAATCAATTTCAATTGCGTTGGAAGGTCAGGCAGAGGCGGAGATGTCGAAATTCTACCCGCTTGGGCCATGGTGATGTGCAGCCGGTGTTACCTGTCGTGCCCCTGCCCGTGCAACAAAAAAGGCAGGAGGAGTTGCTGGAAGGAACTCTCGATTTGGTCCTTTGTGAATTCCTTGCTTCATTTCTCATGCTGGTCGGTTCATGCCTTCGTTTCGGTGCCAGCGTTTCGCCACAGTCAGCAACCAGCTACGACAATTGTAATGACGGCATGGCAGACATCGCTGCAAGTGCTGAGGCACGGCTTTGAGGGTGCTTTGCCTTTGTTGCGAGCCGGCTCGCCTTCCAAAGTGACGGGCCAAGCCTGTCCCAAGTCCTTTGCGGACGGGTTCAGAGTAGCTCGTGAGGCCTTGCTCCACGTCTTCATCGAGGTCGAGCCGCAGGGTGTTAAGTTGGCACGCCGAGGTGCCAGAAGTCGCGGTCGACCTCTGAACCAACCAATGAACTCTGGTGGGAGGCTCTGGCCATCGACGCACAGGATCTGAAATGAGCCATTCGCCGCGAATGGGCGGTCATCGCCGAACGACGTCCGAAATGAGCTTCGTGTCCAGTTCCCAGAAGCCTATGGACCTATTGCATGTCTCTCTCTCTCTCTCTCCCTCTCTCTCTCTCCCTCCCTCCCTCCCCCCCTCCC